GTTAACCACTGGTATTATGGGTAGTGTAGTAGGAAAGACACTTACCTGACATGTAATAGTGACGTAAATAGTATAAAAGACCTCCAAAAATAACAAAGACAAACAGGAGAACCAGAAGATCTTTGACCCAGGATGGAAATGGTTCTGTGGGGAAACATAAAAAAATGACTTCTAATCTCTAAGCTGTGTCTACAGTATTGACCTTTGACCTTTATCTCCAGCACCTACTTTTGACCTGCAGCATGACTTTTTTTCTCAGGATGTCTTTGTCCCTGTAGATGGTGCAGATGTATCGTCCTGTGTCTCTCTCTGTGGGGTGTTTCAGGGTCAGACTGAGGTCTCCAGTTCTCAGTGGGTCTTCATTCATCTTTGTTCGGTCTCTGTAAACTTCATCCTGAGTCATAAGTTGGCCACTTTGGTTAGAATACTCATGGACTGTGATGAGTCCGAGGTCAGAGCGAGTCCACTCCACTGTGGTGTCCTCAGACAGGTCAGGTGTTGTGTTGCAGGGCAGGATGACAGACTGTGACCCTTCTCTCACCTTCACCTCCGCCTGCTGGTCTGAGAGGACAATAAACCAAAACATAAACTGTAGAAGCACAAAATACCGCTAAAAGTTTTGTGTTGGGCCATCGATAAATTTTTAATGCATGTATAATATATGTACAGACGTGAGTGTGCTGAACCTCTCTGAGCTAAACACAGACACATCTGCACACAAGCAGTAGAACCTACATGAAACAGAGCTCATGTCTTTCAGAAGTTACAGAACTAAGAACCCATTTTATCTGCTTTGTTTCTCATGTTTTGCTTCCACAAACGTGTGTGCTTGTTTCATCAAGACCTTCAGAACTGTTTGAGAAATACTTTGCTTTCATTTACTCTTTAACCTTTCCCTGCAGTACTGACTTATGACCTGTAATTACAGCAGGTGTTGGGTTTGTTACTGACCTTTGACCTGCAGCTGGATGTCTCTGAATCTCCGTTCTTTTCCTCCAGCACTGATGGAGCAGGTATAGTTGCCACTGTCAGTCTTTGTGGGTTTCCTCAGAGTGAGGCTGAAGTCTTTAATGATGAAAGCGTAACGATTCATTGATGTGCGTCTGCTGTAACGCTGGTTTTGTCCTCTAAGATCGTCTCCTCCTTCTCGTCGTTGGTGTACAGATATGGGATCGAGGTCACTGCGAGTCCACATCACTGTTGGATTGTCCTCAGGTATAGAACCTGAGTACAGACAGGACAGCAGGACAGACCTTTCCCCCTCATTCACCTCCACCACCACAGCCAGAGCATGCTGGGAAACTGGAAGGACAGAAACACAAACACAAATCAAGTTCCTGTTGTAGGTTTGACCCAGAGTTAAAAAATAACCAACATTAACTTCATGCATTCTCTGATCCTTGTCCAGAGCCTATTCCAGCTACTATAGGGCACACCCTGGAAAGGTCACCAGCTTGACACAGGGCCAACACAACCATCCACACCTACGGCAATTTACAATTGCCAATTAACTTAACTCCACTAACTGCATGTCTTTTGACGGTGGGAAGCCAGAGTACCTGACGAGAACCCACTCAACCATAGGAAGAACATGTAAGCGAGTGACAGAACGAGACAGAGAGAAAGTTTTGAGATGTGAGAGATTTGTGATGTGTAGCCTGTTTGGAGTGTAGTCAGTGTGTAGTTTAGTGGATGGTTTTGTTTTGTGTGTCAGAACAGTAAGGTGACTGCTGAATGTCACAGTTGCTGCCAAAAAGCCACCAAAAGCGGATTACAGTGTAAACACTATTCAGGTAGAAAACAGGAGTGATACATCTCCTGCTGTCAGGCCTGCAGGTATCAGGCTGTGATGTGATTCTCTGTCTCATATGGAGAGACATAACTAATCTTTGTGACTTCTAATTTGATGCAGAACACCTGATTGTTCTGTAAATAGTTTGAAATGTTTTTGTTGTTTTTTTTTAAACTGCCTTGGCTGTGTGGTGGTTCATAAATTTGATTAGTTTTGAAGTTGTACATCCCTGTTCCTTATATTTCATGTCATGCCTTTATCATTGTTTTATTTGTTGTTTTGACTGTTTGCTCTACAGAATATGCAGTGGGAATGTAGAGGGAGATAAGTATGGAAAGTTTTGCCTAGGCTGATTGTGCGTCAATCCATTTGTTATGCCTCAGGGCCCCAGTAGATGGATTGGCGAGTCTCCTCCTTCACTCAGTACAGACGAGTGAGAGCGAGAGCTGCATGTCTGTGCCATTCTTTCACCTCTCCTCACCTTTTCCCCTGTTTAAGGTAACTGCCATGCACAGAACTGTATAAATGTGGCAGCATGTGTTACTGTTGAGTATTAGCCCATTATCATTGTTCATTGTAACAAAAGAGGTGAATTGTGCACTGTTTTTGCTGAGAAGTTCCAGTTAAACTCTGTTGCTGTTTATGCTAGCTTTCGCTAGTACTCCGCCATATTGTGTCATGATTTTTTCCGTTACTGTCTGTATAGGTTAACTACTGAACAACATACAGTACTTTAAGTATAATGTAGTTGCTGTGGAAAGTTAGTGACTGCGTCCGCTAACATCTGCAAGTTAGAAAGATGTTTTTGTCTAATGTTACAGTTCATGTTGCCTAAACTATTCTCATCAGCTAATGCAGTGTATAAGGGTGACTTCGTTTAGAAACAGTTGTCCTGAGACTGAGTGCATGCATGCGAATATTGTTCTGGTTGTATTGCTTCTGAAACTCAGTACAGATGAGTGAGAGTGAGAGCAGGAGCTGCGTGTCTGTGCCATAAAGGTTGTGCTGATAAGAATGATACCAAACAAGGTAAGAGTTTTTATGTTTTTCAAGTTTTAAAAGATGAAATGTAGAGGTAAAATCAAAAGTAGTCAAAAACGGCCAATTATGCCCTATACACCATAGGGTTAAACATTATTTTAAAGTAACACAATAGTTACTTTTCCTAATACTTATTTATTACTTGTTTGTATAATATTGTAACTCAGTTACTAGCTCAGTTACTTTTTTGAAGAAGTAACTTCACTAATTGTTTTTTTTTTTAAATAACTTGCCCAAAACTGCTTATTAGAGCCTTATTGTTTCTAATACACAAAAACACTTTATGCTGCATATGTTTAAACTTTTCAACACAGATGTATGTCGGTTAGAAATGGCTGATACAGTTGGTAAAGCTTATGTGTAAAGGGTTACAGAGGTATTAAGTATAGCTGAAATATGTAGTTGAACCTCCCAACACTCGCAGTACAACTACAAACATCAGTAAAACAAACTGACCCTTTCTTACAAACTAATCCATACATAGAAAAGGCCCGAAGCTCAGCCAATCACAGGACAGGGCGTGATCAGCTGACAAAACTACAGGGATTTGAAGGTTCTAGGTGAGGCTGACAGAAAGTTGACCAACAGGTGTAAAACTATGAGGACACACAATGTTTGTACAACCTTTTCTAAGAAGTCATCTTTGGCAGTCTGCCACGATGTCTGACTGCACACATTATATCTGAAACGTAAAACAAACACAGATAGCTGAACAAACTGAAGACTAAACATACTCTACAGCCAGTCATGTCAATGATCGCATTGAGGGGGTCAGGCCTTTCCAGAATAGCAGTGGGGACAGAGCATCTTCTTGGTAGATCCCTCACTTGATGGTGACTTGTGCTATGGGCTTGAAGTTGGCCTCTAGTGTTGTACGCCACATCTCCATTGAGTTCCTGATGAAGGCTCTTAGGATCCTGTTGATTTTGTGTTGATTTCCAGGATCCATGTGTGGGGCATTGCGCCATAGACCTTCTTATAGTCAATCCAGGCGGCACACGACTCAGTTCATGAGTGTCACACAGAAAGGAA